TTGGCTTTTTTTACTTTTTCCAAAGTATATCTAGGGTCTCTACCATGTGTACCATTTGATACTAAATGAATTTAAAATGAAATGCTTAATCCATGATTGCTTTGAGTTTGGCAATCTCATTTTGACAATTGTGGAAAAGGAGGTTACGCGAGTATCCATGGTGGTACCGCAGCCAGTCGGAAATCTCCTCTGGCGCCGCTAATAAATTTGTCAGTGTGCCTCACGAGAAAATTATTTCTAAAAATACCTTTTACGGCATTTTATTCAAAGGTTACAACACAAACTCAAACAAGTAAGTAAATAATTTAACTACTAATCTGTTGAAAATGTTGGGCATTTTGGGGGGATGCTACGGCTTTTTTGTAAATGGATGCCCGAAGAAGTCCAGAGGTTGCAGATTTGCACTTCGAAGAGGCTCTAGGTGACGCAGAGATGGCGAATTAACACATGCACATTAGCGGCGAACAACATTGGTAGAGCACTTACGGCTTCAGTATAGCCCAGATTGATCTGACTGTATGTCGTCGATCCAGTGGGGCTCTAGAGGCGAGTCAACGATGAAAAAAAAAGTTAAAAATTAATTAACGTCAAAGTGACACTGCCAAAGTCAAAGCAATCATGGATTAGGCATTTCATTTTAAATTTAGATAATATCAAGTGGTACAGGTTATTAGTATATTGGGTTGCGTAAAAATAGTTTTCAGAAGTAATTCTCTCGTGACTAACCCTGTACTTGTACATATATAACTATGTATATACCTAATCAATGTGGCATTTTTACTTCCCGAACGTAAGCTGAGGACGTATATTGTAATCGAGTCTATCGGGCAATAAATTGTTTTCATGTTTTTTTAGCGTTTCGTGACCTTCACAGAACGAAAAAATGTATAAAATGACATACCTCTCCGCTTGTGATTTATGAAACCGTGTTGAATTTTTACCCAAGGCAAAAAACCTTTGGCAAAAAAACAAAATTTTATGACACCATTTTGCAATGTAACAAATTTTTTGACTTTTATTTGTCGGTGTCTGGACTTTTCCATTTTTAATTGTTCCGACCTTACAGTTTTGCGATTTTTTAATATTTCGATTCTTCAATTTTTCGATTTTTTTTAATTTTAGATTTTTCAGTTTTTCAGTTCTTCAATTTTTCTTTTTTATTAAATTCTACATTTTTCAAGCTTCCGTTTCTGTAATGTTGCGATTTTTCAATTTCGAAAATCTTTTGATTTCTCCATTTTTTTTCTTAATTTTTTGACATTTCGATTTTTCGATTCTTCAGTTTTTCAATCTAATTCGGTTTTTCGATGTTTCGTTTTTTAATTTAAAATTTTTCAACTTTCTTCATTTCTGATTTTTTTCGACTTTTCGCTTTTTGGATTTTAGGCTGCTTCTATTTTTTAATCAATCTTTGGATGTTACCTTTTCTCAATTTTTCGATTTCCTAACTTTTAAACATTTTAGTTTTGGGGGTTTTCAATTTGTGATTCTTCAGTTTTTCGACTTATCGATTTCTCGATATTTAATTTTGCGATTCCTCAATTCTTCAATTTTTCGAAATATATTTTTCCGTTGGTTATCAGCATATTTTCATTTTGACCGCACTTGTATGGAGAAATACTCTATTTCTTGATTTTTCAATTTTTCGATTTCTCGGTTTTTCGACTTTTCCCTTTTTCTATTTTCCCATGTCCCGATTTTTTCATCCAATTCAGCTTTTCGATGTTTCGAATGTTTAAATATTAACTTTTTCAATTTTTTATTTTCATATTTTCGATTTTTGCTTTCCGGATTTTGGACTGTTCCGATTCCATTTCTAGATTTTTCAATTTTTCCATTTCCCAACTTTTCGACATCTCAGCTTTGGGATCTTTTAATTCCTTCACGGTTTTGATTTTGCGCTCCTGTCGTCCAGATGCAGTAATTTTTTTTGAGTCACCCTGTATATGCAAATTCAAAAAAAAAATAATGGAATGATAAATCACATGTACAGACTCATCATATACATTTTGTACATTGTACATAGGACTTCCCCAGCAAAATTTTTGGGGTGACGTCATCAATTCTTTAGGGGGGATGAGCAAAAAATACATTTTCATCAAAAATTTACCATGCTTATGATAACTTTAAAACATCTCCAAGATTTCAAAGCATTCGGTTTTGTAGTTCCTGATTAAATCAATAAAATAAATTCACGCATTTCTTAATTTTTTTGAGTCACCCTGTATATGGAAATCCAAAAAATATGAATGGAATGATAAATTACAAGTACAGACTCACTATATTTTGTACATGCAAGCATTCTGTTTTACAAATTCAAAATTAAATTGCAAAATGTCATAATTTTGATTTTTTTTCCAAAAATCTCGATTACAATACTTCCTCCCTTACGCTAGGGAAGTAAAAATTTAAATTTTAAAAATTAGTCGAAAATTATTTCAACAAGCACAATAAAACATATCCAGCTGAAATCGAGAACTCGTGAAATTGTAAAAATTGAAAAAGGTGGAAAGTGAAAAATTCGACAGATCGACAAATGGAGAAATCTAAAAAAAATCTAAAATTTAAAATATGAAAAATCCGAAATTTCGAAAATCAAAAGTTCAAAAATTGAGAAATCGTAAAATCGAAACTCGAAAATTAAAATATTTAAAAAATTGGAAAATAGAAAAATCGAAGAACCGAAACATCGAGAAACCGAAAAATCTAAAATTTAAAAAATCGAAAAATGAAAATACCGAGAAAATGAAGAAACAAAAAATTGAAGAGTCTGGAAATCGAAAAATCTCAGAACTGTAACATTAAAAAAATTGAGATCTCAAAAAATTGCAAAATCGCAAAATCGAAAACCGAAAAATTACCGAAAGTGGAAAAATCGAAAAATTAAAAATTCAAAAAATTGAGAAAACGAATTGAAAAATTGGAGACTTGAAAAATTAAAAAATCGAAAAATTGAGAAAACGAAACACTGAAAAGTCATGAAATCGAAAAATGGGAAAATCAAAAAATCGAAAAATTTCAAAACAGAAACATCGAAAAATTGAAAAATCAGGAAACCGAAAGCTCGAAAAATAGAAAAATTGAAAAATCGAAAATTTAATAAATCAAAAACTGAAAAATCTAGAAATCGAAAAATCAAAAAAATGAAACATCAAATAATTGAGAAATCGAAAAATTGAAAAGTAAAAAAATCGAAAGTTTAAAAAACAAAAATCAATAAAAAGAAAAACCAAAAATTGAGAAATTGAAACTTCAAAAAGTCGAGAAATCAAATAATGGGCAAATCAAAAAATTCAAAAGACGAAAAATCGAAATGTTGAAAAATCAAACTTTAAATAATCAAAAATTGTAAAAAAACAAAAGACTGAAAAATCAAAAACCCGAATCATCGAAAAAAAGTTAAAAATTGAATAATTGAAGTATTGAACAACTGATAAAATCGAAAATTGAGAAATCGGAACATCGAAATTGGAAAATCCTAATACTGAAAAACCGGAAAATCGAGACACCTATTTCTATCCGAAATAGATACCTCGCTTGATTAACTCGGCCGTATTTTAATACAGTCATGTATGCTTCCTTTGAACTTTAGGATTATCCTAATGCTCGGATTAAAGTAGTCATCTATTATACTCCAAACGTCCAAACTATATCGAATCATGAGTATCATACATGTGATGAAAATAAAGTTCACTGTATTTGGAAATACAATTTTATTTAAAGAAAAATACATCACCTTAAATAAACTGCAAAAGATTGGTATATTAGTAACAGACTTTTTTTTCTATTTTTAATAATAGTAATACCCTTTATTTGTCCAATAAGCGAAATCCAATTACAGGACAAATCAATTACCCGAAAAGGCAAAATATATACAGGGTTATTCAGGTAAGATGACCTATTTATGTTTTTAAATTAGGCAACCCAAAATACCGATTCCACCTCAACCTGGATTACAAAAAAGGTTTCAAAATTAAATTGTATCAAACCGACATGATCCTTAGTTATGGACACGTTATGGAGAATGACACAAAAAGGCTAGGCGCACAGCACAATTGTATGCCCGAAAATACCCTGACCGTGTGGCCCCAACACCCCAAAATTTTCCAAAGGCGTAAGTTCTGCGCTTCTTGCGCCCTATCCAAGAATTGCCAAATTTTTCGTTTAGATAATCCCTAACTATTCGATAATTATGAGGAGGTGCACCATCATGTTGAAACCACGTATTTCCCCACACCGCAACTGAGAAATGAACTATCTAGTGAGGACAAAAATTTTTCAAACATTATTTTTTCCACCGAATTGTACCGCATTAATCCAACCCATGGATCAACATGTTATAAAAAATGTCAAGTTGCATTGTCGAAAATCCCTGTTGTTGAACGTAATTTCCGAAGAAAATGAAGACATCACAACAATTTTAAAAAAGTTTGATTTTCTAGCAGCGGTTTTTTCTCTTAAAGGAGTATGATTGAAGATAACATCAGATCTTCTTCAAAAATTTTGGAAAAATTTATGCCCTACCTTACCAGCAACACTACAAGAAGAAGAAGAAGAAGATTTAAAACCATTATCTTACCTTCAAAAGAAATATTCTGAAGACAAACGAGAGATAAACGAGAGGATCTTTGTCGAAAAATTGTTGCAGACATTACATCCAACGAAGTCCAAAATTGGGTTAATCCAACCGATGAAGACATTTTTTTTACCGAAGATGAAATCGTAAGCAGTCTTAATGAAGACAGAATAGATAACACAGGAACCAGTGAATGAAAATGCCTCTCATACAGAAGCAATCAAAAGCTTTAACGTATGTTTAAATTGGTGCATGAAAAACAATATTCCAGAGCACAAATATCTGATGTTGAAAGATTTACAAGATCAAGCAATTCGTCTTAGATTTAGAGCTATGTCAAGCAGAAAAAAATTGAAGATTATTTAAAAATTTAATTTGTTTTGATGTTACATACTTTTTTTAATTAAATTTGGTACTACACATATGTATGCAGTAGTTTATTTAGAAAAATAAAAATTATACATAGAAATGGATGATTCCTTTCATTTTAAAATTAATTCCAATAATCCGAACACACCCATAATTCGAACACGTTCTGGTTCCTATTAGTTCGGATTATCGAGGCTGTACTGTATTTTTAAAATTCTGCAGACTGACGATTGGCTAATTCCTACTTGTCTAGCAATAGCAATTTGTCCCATATGAGGATTTTCCTTAACTTGGGCAAGGACTTCATTTGCCAAGCTAGTCGCAGTCCGGTTCCTTTTCCTTTTGTTAGCAGGCCAATTGCTACGCAAAGCATTTTCTAGCCTCTTAAAAATTTTGGGTGTTGGGGCCACACGGTCAGGGTATCTTTGGGCATACAATTGTGCTGCACGTCTAGCATTTTTGCGACATTCTCCGTAGATAAGGATCATGTCGGTTTTCTCGTTATTATCGTATGTCTTGCGTTTATCTCTAAGTGAGTACTGTTCACATTCGTACCATTTGTGGTCAAGGTCGTCAACATGCCTTGTGTTAATGTGCTTTTTGAGAGCAAATTTGTCTACGGTCCTGTAAGGACATAAAGTACAATTGTGCCACTTGTCTAGATGCCGCATTTTTACGTGTCTGTATAAAGATGTGCTATATTTGTTTTTGTATTCGCACTTTTCACATTTGTACCACTTATTCTCTTTTTGATTTCCATGATGCCGCTGAATATGCTGTTTCCAATCTGATTTTTCTGTAGTTTTGTAAGAACATTGCTCACACTCTTCCATGTGACATAACCATTTAAGGGAAAAATGCGTCTCAAAGCAGCACTTTGTACAAACGTACTTTTGAATGTTGTGTTGCACAATCAAATCGTCGTCGTTTTCTTGTTTAATTCTGTGGCGGTCTTTAATATGTTGCTTGAAAAGCAATATTAGTTCGGTTTGAAAATTGCAGTCTTTGCAATGGTAAGAATCAAGGGGGTTTTCACAGGTAAAAGATATCAAGGGTGACTGATGACGGCGAAGGTGGTTTATCATCAGAAAAAACGATGTCGTAACGTATGGGCAAATTTTGCAATCGTGGACTTTTACCAAGGAAGACTTGTTGTGTGCCGTGCAAGCGACGGAATATTTCAAAGCTTCCATTTCAACTAGTCTGAAATTGTTGCGTTAAAAGGTTATTATAAAAAGGAATCTTGTGTTACGTACCTGTAAATTGAATTAAAAATAATTTATTGTTTTCGACATAACCTCAAAATGTTGGTACTTTTTACTTTATTTGTGTCTTCTTAAAGAGAGCTAGATTATGCAACACGTTATACACGACTATTGCCATTCATTGGTTAAGATGGATTAAGTATACATGTTACCGGCAATCTGTATAATTATGTTCTCTGGTATAATTCTATACAATACCTAGGCAATAGTAGAATACCGGAGGCGTCTAGGCAATGTATGAAATATTACGAATATGATTGTTCATTACATACTTTGTATGTATGTACATATAATTAGATATTCTATACAATACCTAGTCAATGTATAGAATGCCTAAAACGTTAAGGTAATGTATGAAATATTACTCATTTTATACTTTGCCTAGATATTCTGTACAATGCCGAATGCGCAGCCGGTAATGTGTGTAAAAGACGAGAGTAGGTGTTTAAAACTTCTGGAAAAATATTTCCCCCTGTGCCATTGGGTACCTACCACTGTAAGAATCCCCGTTCCAAAAGTCGACAGAGGTCGCGGTGATGCTCGCAATGTACTAGCTGTAGTTTTACAAAAAACGGATGAACTTTATGTCTAATATTATTTGTTTATGTAGGATCTAGTACCTAACCGAAGAATAAATAAATATTTTTTTAATGCAGTAATTCTTAATTCTACTGCAAAAAAATACGTGCCTTTTTTGTAAAGATTGCATTATTTTACACATTGCCGATGGACCGCCAGGTACTCTATACAATCCCAAGGAATTGCATAGACATTACTTAGGCAAAGAATGTAATGGACAATCATATTCGTAATATTTCATACATTGCCTGGACGTCCCCAGTATTCTACACGTTGCCTAGGTATTGTATAGAATACTTGAATTATACAGATTGCCGGTAACATATATCTACAACTCCTAGAGACTGTATAGAGTACCTGGTGGTCCATCGGCAGTGTGTAAAATAAAACAATCTTTATAAAAAGGGTGGGTATTTTTTGCAGTAGAATTAAGAATTACTGCACTAAAAAATATTTATTTGTTCTTTGGTTACTAGATCCTACACAAAGAAATAATATTAGACATCAAAGACATGATACTTTTTACTCATAATAACAAACTTTTTATAATCTATGAATTATTCTACAAAAAAGGCACTTGGTACCTTTCTGTAACTATAGTAAAATTACAATTAAATCACGTTAAACTCAAAATTTTTCTAGGTAAACTAAAATAATAAAATTTTTCTCAAAAAATAATTAGGTAGGTACCTACCAACGTTTAAAAATTTATGAAACAAAACAGTTCTATTAAAATAAGAAATAGATTTACTGGGTTCTCAGAATGAAGTAAGTAAAAAAATAATGAGCTACCTGAATTACGGGGTCTAGAAAAAACATAGAAGCGACGTTCGAAATCCGTCTAGAGAAGTGCAGGGATTTAAATACAGGCCATCGTCGGGAACCATTATTCAGCTAGTTGAGTCAAGAGAAGTTGCAAGTTTTCTCAATTTTTCGATTTCCTAATTTTTAAACATTTTAGTTTTGGGGGTTTTCAATTTGTGATTCTTCAGTTTTTCAACTTCTCGATTTCTCGATATTTCCTCTTGCGATTCCTCAATTCCTTAATTTTTCGAAATCTATTTTCCCGTTGAATATTTGCATATTTTCATTTTAACTGCACTTGTATCGAGAAATCCTCTATTTCTTGATTTTTCAATTTTTTGATTTCTCGATTTTTCGACTTTTCCGTTTTTCGATTTTCCCATGTATCGATTTTTCCATTCAATTCAGCTTTTCGATGTTTCGAATTTTTAAATATTAACTTTTTCAATTTTTTATTTTCATATTTTCGATTTTTGCTTTTCGGATTTTGGACTGTTTCGATTATGTAATCATTTGACGATTCGATTTTTCGAATTTTCAATTTCTGAAATCCCGATTTCTCGGTTATTAGAGAAATTAATTTTTTTCAATTATTTAAGTTTTAGATTCTTAGATTTCTCAATTTCTCAATTTTTTGATTTTTCAGTTTTCCAATTTTTCAATTTTTTTTGTTTTAGGTTTCTCGATTTTACCATTTTTGATGTTTGGATTTCTCAATTTTTCAATTTTTTAATTTCCCGGTTTTTCGATTTTCCGCCGTTTCAATTTTTCCATATTCCATTTCCTGTCAATTTTTCAATCTCTGGATGTTTTCATTTTTAGATTTTTCAAATTTTCCATTTGCTATTTCAGCTTTGGGATCTTTCAATTTCTTCACGGTTTTTATTTCGCGCTCCTGTCGTCCAGATGCAGAATTCAAGAATTCAGTAATTTTTTTGAGTCACCCTGTCTAAGCAAATCTAAAAAACATGAATGGAATGATAAATCACAAGTACAGACTCATCATATTTTGTACATTTTAGATAAAATTTATTTGGCAAGCTTTTGAGCTGACGTCATCAATTTTTTGGAGGGGATAAGTAAATATATTTTGATTAAAAATGTATCATTCTTATCATAACTGTAAACCATCTGCAAGATTTCAAAGCATTCTGTTTTGCAGATTCAAAATTAAATTGCCAAATTTTGTGTCATAATTTGAATTTTTTTTCCAAAAATCTGGACGTTTCGGGTAAAAACTCAGTTCGGGTCATAAACTGTAGCACTATGTTATTTTATACAATTTAAAACCCATTTACTATGTACAATTTGAAGTGACGTTATCACCTTAGTTAAAGCACTGCTTTCACCTTGATAGTGGAGATGATTAGACAAATTTTGGTTAGCGTTTTTCGTTTTACCATCTACATTATATTCCTAATATACATACAAAATTTCACAACAATCGGCCCAGTATTTTCTTCTTCTTTTCTTTTTATTTTTTCTGTCTATTTAAAATCGGTGAGGGCAGACAGACGGACAGACAGACAGACAGACGGACAGACAGACAGACGGACAGATAGACAGACGGAAACGGGAGACCTATTTCTTCGTACTCTAGGGGTCATGAAAGGTTGAAAAAACGTAAAAGTAGAGAGTCGGGCGACGGACTCGATTACAATACTTCCTTACGCTAGGGAAGTAAAAATTTCAATTTTAAAAATTAGTCGAAAATTATTTCAACAAGCACAATAAAACATATCCAGCTGAAATCGAGAAATCGTGAAATTGTAAAAATTGAAAAATCGAAAAATCGAAATCTGGAAAGTGAAAAATTCGAAAGATCGAGAAATCGAGACATCAAAAAAAAAATCTAAATTTTAAAATATGAAAAAACTGAAGAATGGAAAAAAATCCAGGATTTGATACATCGAGAAACGGGAAAATTTAAAATCGAAAAATCCGAAATTTCAAATATCAGAAATAGTAAAATCGAAAGTCGAAAACTAAAACATTTGAAAAATTGAAAAATTGGAAAATTGAAAAATCGAAGAACTGAAACATCGAGAAACCGAAAAATTTAAAAAATCGAAAAATGAGAACATCGAGGAAATGAACAAACAAAAAATTGAAGAGTCTAGAAATCGAAAAATCTCAGAACTGAAACATTAAAAAATTGAGATCTCAAAAAATTGCAAAATCGCAAAATAGCAAAGTGGAATAATCGAAAATTTAAAAAATCAATAAATTGAGAAAACAAATTAAAAAATTGAAGAATTGAAAAACTGAAAAATCGAAACTTTGAGAAAAAGAAACGATGAGAAAACGAAACACTGAAAAGTCGTGAAATCGAAAAATGGGAAAATAAAAAATCTAAAAATGGGAAAATCCAAAAAACGAAAAATTCCAAAACTGAAACATCGAAAAATTCAAAAATCGGGATACCGAAAGATCGAAAAATAGAAAAGTTTAAAAATCGAAAATTTAATAAATCAAAAATTGAAAAAATCAAAAACTGAAAAATCGAGAAATCGAAAAGTCCCAAAACTGAAACATCAAATAATTGAGAAATCGAAAAATTGAAAAGTGAAAAAATCTAAAATTTAAAAAACAAAAATCGATAAAAAGAAAAACAAAAATTGAGGAATTGAAACATCAAAAAGTCAAGAAATCACATAATGGGCAAATCAAAAAAATCGAAAAGCCGGAAAATCCCACACACTGAAACATCGAAAAATTGAGAAATTGAAATCGAAATTTAAATAATCAAAAATTGGAAAAAACAAAAGACTGAAAAATAAAAACCCGGAGCATCAAAAAAAAGTTAAAAATTGAATAATTGAAGAACTGAACAACTGATAAATCGAAAATTGAGAAACCGACACATCGAAATTGGAAAATCCTAATACTGAAAAACCGGAAAATCCGGATACCTATTTCTGTATGAAATAGATATCTCGCTCGATGAACTCGGCCGTAGTTTATTACAGTCATGTATGTTTCCTCTGAACAAAAAGTTGTCAGCCCCCCGTCGGATTAGCTCAATGTTCGGATTAAAGAAGTCATCTATGGATATCATACATGTGATGAAAATAAGGTTCACTGTATTTGGAAATAAAATTGTATTCAAAGAAAAATACATCACCTTAAATAAACTGCAAAAGGTAGGTATATCGGTAAAAAAGACTTTTTTCTATTTTTAATAATAATAATACCCTTTTTTGTCCAACAAAGCAAAATCCAATTACAGGACAAACCAATTACCCAAAAAAGCAAAATATATACATGCATAAGAACAGCTTAAGATCAAGTTATCATAAACAATTTACAAATCAAAAATGTCTTCAAAAAATACACTGGCGGCTTTCGAAATAATTGAATATTAAACTGAATAAATTTAAATATCCCTAAATTTTTAAGGGCGGTTTATATACAGGGTGTCCCACGTAACAATTTCGGGCGCAATAACTCAGGTATTTTTGAAAGGATTTTTATGAAATTTACGACAGGTGTAATATAAAGATGTAAAGATTAGGTTGATAACAAAAAAACTATTTTTTTTCACTAGCAGCGATCAAGCATGCAAATGTCGACTCATTTAGAGGTAGAGTGCTTTTCTGTAAAAGGTACACACCAATAAACGTGCGCAGAAACGAAATTTGGTTCGGCATTGCGGGGTGAAAGAATCCAGCACGTGGTGATTCATCTTCAGTGGCGTCTGGCGTTAGAGAACTCTTTGGAGAATTTTCTTGGTTTATTGTGAGTGTATAGTTTGATTTTTTGGGAAAAAATAGTTACGCCTATGATTTTATAACATCGGAAAGACATTTTCACAAAATAAATTTGTGTTTTCATTTTTTTGGCTGTGATTTCTAGTACCACATAATATTGCCCCCAGATTCAATATCCAAAAGATACGCCACTGTCTATAATATCATCTATTCCCGCCAACTTCCACACGCACATCTCTGACTCCGCCCATGTACCTTTTAGAGAAAAGCACTCTAGCAAATTCAACTTTTGCGACCACCGGTTCAAAAAGAAAAATTGAGGTTATGTACGCAATGTTTGATGTGATTATTTCTTAAAAAATGAACAAATGTGTGCTACAAACATTACTTGAGTATACGCACGGTAGTTGGTAGATGGTAGAAGATAAAATGATTAACTCAGCGACAAGTATAAACGGTTTTCTTTGTGTTGAAGATTTAGATTAAGTTTGATTAGAAATCAAAATAAAATCATGTTGCGTCAAAAAATTGAACGTTTATTTTTTCAGTTTGTTGTCTTATGGTTTCTACTAGTGAAAAAAATAGTATATTAACCGCGGTTGCAAAGCCACTTCTAGACCTCGCGCTTCAGAGCCCTCGACGCTGCGCGTCTCGGGTTCTAATTTGCACTCGGTCTAGAATGCTTGGCTCTGCAACCTTGGCTAATAACACTGGTCAACAAAATTTAATTTTTTCTCTCTAACTTTGACATAATTGTAATGTTTTCGTTTAATTTGTCTCTGTGTTTGTAACAAAGAGCATAAATCTCATAACTTAGCTCAATTAAAAAAAATATGCATATTTGATGTTAGAAACACAAAATCAGCTAAAACAATTTAATTTCTGTATCTTTAACTGCAAAAAGTGTAGTATTAACAAAAGAACAACCATAAATAAGAAAAAAAACAACGAATGTAGTTTAAAAAAACGAAAAAAACAAAAGAAACAGCGAAGACCGACGTTTTTTTGGTTGCCTCCTATAGATTTTATTGGAAATCTCTCGCTTGATGGTCCCGCAGTATTCTGCGAGCATTTAGGTGTTCCATCGATCTTGGTAACGTTTTTCTATCGACAAAATACCCAGATGGAAGCGTTCTCCATGTTGGTGACTCACGTCGTCACAATTTTTGGGGAAAAAATCAAGGTGCGAATGCATAAAATGCACTTTTAAGATTATGTTAATTTTAAATTTTTTATATGATGATAACATGTTTTCTACTTACTAAACGTAGTTTTCTTATTGTTTCCCAATAAATTTGTAGCAATTTGATTACAAAAAAATACACCTTATGGAAAGTTTCCTATTACTTAATAGTACGATTTTTGTATTTTTCAAGGGATAATATTTTAAGATTACTTTTAAATGAGAGCTAAGTTTTGGTTTAGCCCTTTATAATATCATTTCAAATTGCTAATTAAATAATAATTGACTGCTATAATAAAAGTTAGAGCTTAGCTGTTGACCAGTGTAATATACTATTTTGTACGACCATTGCTTTTTCGATCATTTACCGTACAGGTTTCCATAGCAGTAAGTTCAGTTTACGGGTTGCTACGACTAACAACTAATAAGAGGAGAACGGTAAGTAAATTACTTACTGTTCAGCTGAACGGTAAGTAATCATGCATTCAAGATTTTTTTTATTTTAAATTCCATGCGTGTTCGACTTCGACATTTTCGCTTTCAGAATCACTCATGATTGATATTTTAAGCAAATAAATCACTCACTAATAGTCGCGGAAAGAAAATTAACTCGAAATCAAGCCAGATCAAATCTAATTCGACAGCGGTCAAAATGGAAACTGATTTTTAAATTTGTTGTTTATATTAATCGAAACCATAGTAACAAATTTTAAATTAAAAAACGACCTTGTTGATGTTTGATATAAATTCTTTCTATTTATGATTTGATAAAAAGACGCAAATCCTTTGATGGTCGTACAAAAAATAGTATAAGCGTCACGAACGTTAAGGGGGTTTACTGGTCTCAGACAAATTGGAGACGTCGTTTCGATCCGTCTCCAAACTTTTGCCTTCAACCAGTAAACACCCCTTACCGTTCTTAATACTTAATATAGTTACTATTTTGTGCGAAAAATTAATTAATTTGTTTTTTTAAATTTAATGGTGCTGCCTTGACATTTTTGTCAAAATCTGACAAGTTATTGAAAATGGTTCGCTTTTCTTTAATTATTAAAACAGAAATCATTTTAACCTACGGAAGATGCCGTACAGACCTAGATGAAACAACCAGGACTCTTATCGAACGGTATCTCAATGACCAATTTACCAAATTCAAAGTACAGAGAATAATAATCTTATTTGAAGATACGGGAAGTGTACAAGACCTAAAACGAGTGAAAAAAACAAGGTGTTATATACTCCTAGCAAAATTATTTTCATTCAAGTTAGAATTAATTCCTGAACCTAAAGCAATTTTGCACCTTCGAAAAGGTTGTAGCGGAGCAACTGAAAATTGGTATTTTCTTAAAATTCATAAAATAACGCTTGGCAAACAGGTATTAAATTCCCGCAAGGGTGTCCAAAATGCGAGGATAGCAGTTTTTTGTTTCATAGCTACCTATCCTTTAATACTTTTTGGAATTATTTGCGCAATAATTTATCGTTTTTTGTGTAACCAGACGTATTTCGGAGATAAATTTTTGCATACAGTATTGACTTTTCATGTTTAATCAAGTGATGCAAAACTTAATGAATTCAAAATTAAATTAAGGCATGAAAAATTTACTTTTTGAAGATAATGATTATTTTCGTCGATTCATATTAATCCTCACCTATCAAAATACCTACATTTCAAATTTCATAACAATCCATTCAAAAATACCTGAGTTATTGCGCCCGAAAGTGTTACATGGGACACCCGGTATAATTCAATAAACAACATTATAAAAACGCACACTAACTATTACTATGTCTTGCGGTCCTTTTCGTTCAAATGACAAGTGTTCACGTGTTTGATTCGAGATTTGTAATATCTAGTTTTAAATGGGCACTGTTTGCATTCGTACCATTACGCGTTTTGGTCGTCCAGATGTCGTGCCTTAATGTGTACTGTCAAATTTCTTTTTGCTTTGCTCCTGAAGGGACACTCATTGCACTGGTGCCACTTGATTTGGTCGTCGTCCAAGTGCCGTGCATCTATGTGTTTCTTTAAATATGAGCGAAACCGGGCTTTGTACTGGCACTTGTCACAGTTGTACCATTTAAGACCGTGTCCGTCCAAATGCCGCACATTCATGTGTTTCTGTAAACTAATCCTGTATTTCGTTTTAAATGGACACTCCTTGCACTGATACCACGTGATATCTTCCCCTCTCAAATGCCGCACCTTCACGTGATTCCGTAAACTACCCTTATATTTGGTTTTGAATTGACACTCCTTGCACTGATATCGCATGAGCCTTTCCTCTTTCAAATGCCGCGCCTTCACGTGTTTCACAAAGTTCGGACGATTTCTAGTCTTGTATGGACACTGATGGCATTCATACAACTTGGCACTGGTTTCACATTGTCCGCTCAAACGCGACGCGTCCACGTGTCTCTGTAAAATCCCCTCGAGTTTTGTTTTAAATGAACACTTGTTGCACTGATACCACCTGATACTTTTCTCATTAAAATGCTTGCTTTTCAGGTGTTTCGTTAAGTTCGAACTATCTCTAGTCTTGTGTGGACAATGTTGGCATTTGTACCACTTAACATCCTTTTCGTCCAAATGACAAAAGTTCACGTGTTTCCGTAAAAGGTCCATTTGTTTTGATTTAAATTGACACTGCTCGCACTGATACCACGTGATATCTTCCTCTCTCAAATGCCGCATATTCACGTGGTTCCGTAAACTATACCTGTGTTTGGTTTTAAATGGACAGTCCTTGCACTGATACCACGTGACATTTTCCCCTCTCAAATGCCGTACATTCACGTGTTTCTGTAAACAATCCTTATATTTGGTTTTGAATTGACACTCCTTGCACTGATACTGCATGATACTTTCCTGATTCAAATGCCGCAACTTCACGTGTCTCCAGAAGTTGGAACGATTTCTAGTCTTGTATGGACAATTATGGCATTCAAACAACTTGGCATCGCTTTCACATTGTCCGTTCAAACGCGACGCGTCCACGTGTTTCTGTAAAACCTCCTCGCGTTTTGTTTTAAATGAACATTTATTGCACTGATACCACGTGATACTTTTCCCATTAAAATGCTTACTTTTCACGTGTCTCGTTAAGTTCGAACTACCTCTACTCTTGTACAGACAATGCTGGCATTGGTTAAGTTCGAACTATCTCTAGTCTTGTATGGACAATGTTGGCATTCGTACCACTTGGCGTCTTTTTCGTCCATATGAAAAAAATTTACGTGTCTCGTCAAATATGTCTTGCGTTTACATCTAAATGAGCACTGTTCACATTCGTACCACTTGAGGTCAATGTCATCAACATGTGTGTTAATGTGCTTTTTGAAATCAAATTTGTCTACGGTCTTGTAAGGACATAAAGTGCAATGGTGCCACTTGTCTAGATGCCGCATTTTTACGTGTCTGTATAAAGATGTGCGATATTTGTTTTTGTATTCGCACTTTTCACATTTGTACCACTTGGTGTTTTTTTCATCTACATGATGCCGCTGAATATGCTGTTTCCAATCTGATTTTTCTGTAGTTTTATAAGAACATCGCTTACACTCTTTCATGTGACGTAACCATTTAAGCGAAAAATGCGTCTCAAAGCCGCACTTTCTACAAACGTACTTTTGATTGTTGTATTGCACAATCAAATCGTCGTCGTTTTCTTGTTTAATTCCATGACGGTCTTTAATATGTTGCTTGAAGAGTAACGTTAGTTCGGTTCGAAAATCGCAGTCTTTGCAATGGTAAGAATCAAGGGGGTTTTCGCAGGTAAAATATATCAAGGGTGACTGATGACGGCGAATGTGGTTCATCATCAGAAAAAACGATGTCGTAACGTATGGGCAAATTTTACAATCGTGAACTTTTACCAGGGAAAACTTCTTTTGTGCCGTGCAAGCGACGGAATATTTCAAAGCTTCCATTTCAACTTGTCTGAAAATGTTGCGTTAAAATATTATTATAAAAACGAATCTTATATTACGTACCCGTAAATTAATAAATTAAAAACAATTCAAATTGTTTTCAACATAACCTCAAAATCCTGGTAGTTTCTACTTTAGTTGTGTCATGTTGGTGGTAAATTCCTTAAGCAACACATTATACACGACTGTTGCCATTATTCATTAAGGGTGCCCAGTAGCAGACCGAAAAATAAGCTAAGTAGAATTTCATTTTAAGGGCGTAATTTCAACTTTGAAAAAAAGATCGACATTTAAATTAATAGATAATGTCCAAATCTCTGGGGAAGACACAATATTTTTTAAAATAAGTGATTGTTTAGAATTTAATTAATCGTTCATTCTTCGAAGGAAATTGCATTTTTAGACGAGGAGAGAGCATTTTTCGCTTCAACTTTTATATCAGTGCAAAGACAACATTGAGCTCTAAGGGGAAGACACGGTGATTTTTGTTTAAAATTTATATTTATCAAAATATTTGCCTTTTAAAAAAATACTGAATAATGAAAATAAAGTGAAACTAGGCAACCCTATTTACAAAGATCCGTTTCAATAAATGGTTGAGTTTTACACAGCAGGGAGCCTTGCCGACCGACCCTTTCAGGTAATCAGTTCAGGTACTTTAGGTCATAAAATTCCTAAATACTCTTAGCTGACCCACATTGTTGAAACTCTTTTACAAGTCGACTTCTTTCATTGCTGACATAATTCGATTTAAAAATATGCAAATTATAATTTTATACATTGTACAAAAATATTTTCTTTGAAAAAATTATTCAAATATTTTTTATTAATCTGTCATTTTATATATTAATCAATACACAAAACTGACAAGATTTAGATTCTCAACACTTCACTAACCACTTATTTACCTGAACAATCATATCTATTTAAATTTTAGTTTTTTGATACTCTTTTCCGCACCACCTATGAGGTAGAGTGTTTCATTTGTTAAAGAAAGAGGCTTGTTGTAATTATAACTTTAATAACTAAACATGTGTAACATTCTACAAGTACCAAAATACACAGTACATTAATGTTGGTCATTGCCAACTTAACTTATTCTCACTAAATGGCAGGGATGCCAATAACACTTGTAACACCCCCCTCACTAAGTTTACAAAACTATTTTAAGGTTGAAGGAACACCGTACACTTCATAATCATTGTATTTGGATGGCATATTTCTATTTCTGTGAGGTCGACTTACAGGTTCCTTACCTGAACATACATTTACATCATTATTAATTTTTGTTGGGGATGACACAGTTTTAAAAGGGGTCGAATTATTCATACTAGGGGTACATGTCTCATTTTCAGAATCAGAAATTGGATCGACAACATTACCACGCGGAACAAACTCCTTTTTCGATTCACGAAGGTGACGTCTATTTCTCCTAAACACTTGACCTTGCTCAGTTTTTACAATATAAGACCGCGGTGTGTCGTACTTATCTTCTACTTTTCCCTTTTCCCAATTGTTATGATTCTTTACATACACATTTTGACCCGGTTCAAATGAAGACAATGTTTTTGCACTTCTATTATAGTACTTTTTTTGATTTATCTGACTAGATTTTAATTTATCATGTACATATTTCGGGTTTATATTTTCAGTATTTAATAATTTGTTATTGACAGGTAATTTTGATCTTAAACGTCTATTATTTAGTAACTGACTTGGTGAAAATCCTAAAGTTACAATTGGTGTTGTCCTATACTCTAACAATGCTAAGTCTATATCAGTATTTTTTCGAAACAAATTTTTTACTATTCCTACACCTTTCTCAGCTAGTCCGTTAGATTGCGGATAATTTGGGCTAGTAGTAATGACTTTAAAATTCCACTGATTCGCGAAATTTCTGAAATTAAAGCTGTTAAATGGCATATTATCTGCAATAAGGACTTCAGGAATACCTTGTCGTGAAAAAATTTCTTTAAAATGCTTGATTAACTCATGAGAATCTTTATATTTCAACTTTTTCAATTCAATCCATTTACTATATGAGTCAATCACAACAAGATACTCATTACCAGCATAATAAGCTATATCAGCTGAAATTCGAAACCATGGTCGCGTTGGACATTCATACGACCTAAGAGGTTCCTTTTGCGGATTTCTATTAAACTTCTCACACATTTCACAGCCTGATATATATTCATATATGTCTTTACACATGCCTAACCAATACAATACTTCTCTAGCTCTAGCTTTGGTTTTTTCTATACCTAGATGGGTTTCGTGTAAAATTTTTAACATATAACTTTGTAACGATTGAGGAACTACAATTCGTTCATTAAAATATATAATACCATTATTAACTGTAATGTCATGTTTAATTTTCCAAAAATGTTTAACTACCTTTGAATATTGTTTAACATTATTAGGCCAACCATGTTCATAAAAATGTAAAATTTGTTTTAGATCTTGATCATTTTTTGTTTCTTCTTTAATTTGGTTCTGCTTTTCATCTGAAATTACAATTTCCTTTTGTAGTGTGTGAACTGTAAAATCTACACTATCAGGTTCTATCTCATTTAAAAACGATCTGGATAAATAATCTGCAACAAACATTTGTGAACCCTGCAAATATTCAACAGTTATTTCGTATTTGAGCAATTGTAATCGCATGCGTTGTAGCCTAGCAGAAATTTGATTTATTCCTTTTTTGAAAATTGACTCTAATGGTTTGTGATCAGAATTAACAATAACATGTCTACCATAGGTATAATAATGAAATTTTTTACAAGCAAATTCAATAGCATACATTTCCTTTTCAATTTGTGCCCAATTTTGTTTGTTAGAACTTAAAGCTGCAGATGCAAATGCTATGGGCTGATTATTGGACAATAAAACTGCACCTACTCCATCTTTTGAGGCATCAGTTTGTATTTTTAGTTGTTGATTACTAGTAAATATACCTAATGTTGGTGGTTTGGCTATAATAGCTTTTAGTTTATTGAAACTTTCTGTGTGAATTTTATCCCATTGAAATGGTGTATTTTCTTTAGTTAATTCACGCAATGGAGCTGAAATTTGGGACATATTCGGTATGAATTTACTTAGATACTTAAGCATACCAAGAAATTTTAACAAATGTTTTTTGTCTTTAGGAATTTGAAGCTCAGTAATTGCTTTAGTGAATTTTGAATCCATTGCTACACTATTTTTACTAATAATGTGACCACAATAACGAATAGTTTTTACTTTAAATTGAACTTTGGTTGAATTTAATTTAACATTGTTTTGAGCTGCTCTATTTAAAAACAATTGCAAATTACGATCATGCGCTCTTTCATCTTCACCTGAGATTATAATGTCATCAAAGTACACGTGTACTCCTGGGATATCTCCAAACATTTCTTCATTTTTCTTTTGGAATACCTCTGGACTGGATTTTAGACCAAATGGAAGACGATTGAATTTATATCGACCAAAAGGTGTATTGAACGTACATAACTCGGAGCTTTCTTCATCCAAAACAATTTGCCAAAACCCTTGACACATGTCGAAGACGGAAAAATATTCTTTGTTGCTTAGTTGTGCAATGATGGTTTCCGGTGTTTGAATTTGATATATTTCCCTCTGAATTGCAGTGTTCAGATCTTTTGGATCAAGGCACAGGCGTAGTTCACCATTTGGTTTCTCGATGATTACCAAATTATTCACCCATTTCGTTGGTTTGCTGACTTTGCTGACGATTCCTTCTTTGCTGAATTTTTCCAAAGTTGTTTTCAATCTTTTATGTAGACTTAAAGGGACCAGTCTTGGTGGATTAATTACTGGCTTGACTTCTGAGCTTACAGTGATGTGATGTGTTCCTGGAATTTTTCCAATGCCATTGAAGATTGATTTGTATTTTTCAGTAACCATTTCCATTGTTAACTCGTGAATGTACTTCTGTGGCTCATTTACTTTGGTTGATCTGGAAATTAATTGCAATTTTAGACAATCTTGTAACCCAAGAATAGCACCAGAACTAGGGTTAACGACGACGAAATTAACTTCTGCTATTTGATTTCCAACTTTCAGTTTCAGTGTCACTTGTCCAACTGGAGTAATTTTGAAGTTTTTATTTCCATACGCTACTAGTGTGACATTTGTAGGCTGCAATTTCTTCTTCGTGTTCAGTGATTTGAAGTCATTATACGGAAGTACTGATACTTGAGCACCAGTATCAATTTTGCAATTTAATTTTTGACCTTGAATTTCTACTTCTTCGTACCAAGTGTTTTCTTCCGCAGTGATTCCCTCGATCTTTAGATTTAGAACTTGCAGACTGCTCATATTAACCTCTTCATCTTCTATTTCGTGGACGCTATAGTTGCTGTTGGTTTTGCTTCTGCACACTTTTGCGAAGTGGTTTGGCTTCTTACATTTCCTACATGTTTGATTGAACGCTGGACATTTGTTTACTGGGTGACTTACTTGTCCACAATTTCTGCAGTTATTTATTATTTTCGTAGTTGGTTTCCCAGTTTTCATCTGTTTCATTGGTTGTTTTTTCTTGTTGATCGCTGACACATTTGCCATTGAATGCTGATTTCCCTTGGAAAACTCGTTGATTTGGAATTTACTTATTTCGGCACTTCTGCACTTTTCTAGTGTTTTCTCTAACGTAATATCTTTTTCGTTAATTAGTTGTTCCTGTAGCCGTGTTTCTCTTACGTTAAATATAATTTGATCTCTAATTATTGAGTCTTGTTGGTCGCCATACTCACATTTCATCGCTGCATTTTTTAATTCAGTTACGTAGGCATCAAAGCTCTGTCCTTCCTTTTGTCTTATTTTCAGGAAACAGTATCTCTCGTAGATCACATTTCTTCTCGGTTTGCAATGGTCTCCGAACTTATTTAAAACAATTGCGAGAGTTAAGTCTGCTTGCTCACCTAATTTATAGGAATTGTAAATTTTTACTCCTTCTTCCCCTACTACGTTGAGAAAGATCGCTATTTTCCTTTTTTCTGTCTCGTCCTCTTTCGAAATTGCCATTAGAAAAAGTTCAAATTGTTGTTTCCATAAATCCCATTTGAACGATACGTTTGTTGAAAAATCCAACTCTGGGGGCCTTCGAAACATTCCCATTTCTTGTG